CAGGCGTTGGGCGGGCACAAGCGGTTGCATTACTGGGAGGGCCCGGTAGAAGTTTCAACGGCGTCGGTATTCAACGCCGTTAAAAGAAATTTTGATCTCAATTTGCCGGCGCCGTTAGTTGAGACGGAGGAGGTTCTGTGTCCGTTGCCGGCGAAGAAGCTTCGTCTCTATCAGTAGATGCTACTGACTAAAAAAAAATAAAGAGATGAAATTGTTCTTAGGATTCATTTATTTATTGTACTAATCGATTAAATAATTGTGTGATGTTGCCTTTTTTTGCTTTTAATTTATTATTTTTTCTTCATTTTTTAATTTGATTATATCAAATTTTAAGTAGAATATATATAATATGCATTCATTATTGATTGAGATAGACAAAAATATGAAGAGAGCCAAAGCAATTGCAAGAAATACTTAACGGTCAAATTATCATTGTGACATAATTCATTTTAGTCTAAAATGAGCATTCCTAATGACGCACATAAGTGAGAAATTATTATTTGTGATGATTGCATGTCCAAATTAGCCGTTTTGTCATACATGGCAGCGTGCACCCCTACACATTAGCTATTAAAATGAATCCCCAGACAACAATTCTTTCTTCCAAGGAAATCCATACATGGCATCTAAATATAAATTAAATATTAAAAAATTGTTTTTTGTTAAAATAAATAAAAATTATATAAAGTAAATCCTAAATATTTGAATGTATAGCTTTTCTTATAAGATCTAGAGCATGATTTTTAATGCTTTTTTTAGAAAATCACATCATTATCTCAAGAAATAAGAATGTGATTGATGCATCTCCAGCAAATTTCGATCATCCGACATGAATCTTAAGGCATGAAACTGATCTTGATGCTGCTTTTTGAGCAAAAGATAATTAAACTTCGATAAAAATTCATTCATAACTCTGATTTCAACAAACCTACAATTAAACTAATGGAATCGACAAGAAGAACCTAATGTTACCTAAATTAATCCAATTTGAGTAAAATTAAATTCAGATCAAGTCATTAAACCATTATAAAAAAGTTTCCAGACATATTTTGAAGGTCGAATGAATGTCAAATCTAGCAAGCCTATAGTTGAATAGAGCGTCTTGATAAGATGAATTCAACAAGCCCAAAATTGCTCAATTTTGGCATACTTAAGGCACTCAAATGTTTATTAAATGTCGTCTGATCGAAGAAAGCTCTCCGGGCCGTTAGATCAAAGTGGTTCATATTCCTGCATTAATTGCACCAAAACACTATAAATAGAGCACCACCCATCTTATGAGTGGGAGAAGGGCTTGAAGCCTGAAGAAGAGCTTGAAATTTTGAGGAGCTCAAGTACAACATCACTCCAACCACCATTGACCACCGCCGACCCCCGTCAATCACTGGCAACCGACATTAATCACCACCAACCGCTGTCGACCACCATCTGTCATCCTCCATCGATCGTCATTGACAGCCACCCACTTCTTACAACAAGTTTACTCATGCACTAACATTACAATTCTAAAACATGTTCAACCCTTTTCTGCTTGTGGAACGAGGGACTCTACATATAACATTCAGTTTATAATGGTTTCTTCAGTTGAGGAAGACCTTGCGATTTTTTTCCTTTACGTTTTTTCCACGTAAAAAACTTTTGGTGTCACTACTAGTTGTTTCCTCTCTTTTGAGAGTACGATAAATCTTTGTACCACGCTAAAATGTTAATCTGCTACTCTACTGTCATGAATTTTCTAGCACACATGATAAATACCAGTGGACCATATTATATGGCTTTGACTTAAAGAAAATACCCACCATTTGCTCATTTGTAATGTATAACATTTTCGATTCACATACTAATAGGTTTTATGCGACTGGCGTCGGACATCCACACTTTGTTACTGTCACAAAAATTAATTGAATGTTTCCAGCATTTGTTTATTAAAACTTTAAAATATTGCTCTATTTTTAAGGTTGAAATTTCTAATATTTCAAGTATAAAGTTTAATATTATGAAATTGATAGGCAAATAATTATTTAAATATTTATCGTAATAAAGACTTTTTTTAATAAGTTTAGGGTTGTATTTTCTTCTTTTTTTTTAAAAAAAAAAAATTAGTGGGGGTTTGTTTTTTTTTTTTTTTTTTTTTTTTTTTTAAATTAGTGGGGGTTTTCCGACCTTCGGTATATTAAAAGAAAAAGAATTTAATGAAAGTTAATTTGTATTGAAAATCTGAATGGAAAGAAGGTTTAGGTTATAATTACGCATCCCTTAAAAGTAGTTATGGCTTAAGTAAACGTGATTATTGGAACTTGATCGCCGCAACTTTAGACTATAAGTTCCAAATTATGTTATTGTAGGCTCTCAATTAGGGCACGTTATGTACATTGAATGAGTTTTCAGTCACATATCTTAACTAATTTTTTTGGTTATGATGAGTGTGACCTTTTTATGAAATAATTTCAAATACATAGATAATTAGAAAATTTTATTTTACATTCATTTTAAAGCATGTTCATAATTTTTAAAGTAATATTTTTTTCTTTTTTATTATCCTTGAATAATTACAATCGAATATAGTTTTAGAAGGAGAGAGAGGCGATGCGTGCTAGAAAATTCATGGTGGTAGAGTAATGGATTTTGGTATTAACATTGTACGAGAATTCAACATATACAGATAAAAGAAGAGAAGCAAGCAAAAAGAGATAAATCGACTTTTTACGTGGAAATTCCTTGAAAGAGGGAAAAACCACGGAGCCTATCACAGTTGAAATAATCTACTATGAATGATGAGTTCACGTGTTCATTCTTCTCATAAATTAGAAAAGATTGAATTACAAAGTTGTATAATTATAATATGATTGTTGTTCTTGGTGACAGCAGGTTGCAAAGGTCATTGTTGATTATTGTGGAGGTAATAGTCTAAGTTGCAAGGGTCATTGTTGATTATTGTGGAGGTAATAGTCTGTCCTGGGTGTTGTAAATGGTTGCTCCAAAAGCGTTGATTGGTAAGAGAAATCGTAGTATGCAGTTGCGGAAGCTAGAAAACACATAAGCCATATTGACGAGTATGAATGACGTACATAGGCCGCAAGGGTCGGAGTTAGGAGTTGCACGAGTTGTGAACCACGTAGGCTGTAGGAGCGAGTATGAATGACGTTCATAGGCCACAAATGATGAATTTGTGAGCTTCATGAGCTGATGACCTCGTAGGTCGTTAGAACTATTATGAATGATGTCCGTAGGCCACCCAATTTTCATGAACTGATGACCACGTAGATCATTGTTGGCACATGAACTATAGTAATGAGCTTTTGTCCCACATACAAGAAATAATTACTATATTTTTCAAGTTATAACATTGACTGACAGTGTTTGGTCGGTGGTGGTCTACAATGGACGATGATTGTCGATGATGGGCTACGGTTGTCGACAAGGGTTGACGGCAATCAACGGTGGTCGACGGCAGTTGACGATGATCGACATCTATCGGCGGTGTGCAACTCCTCCTTAAGGTCTCGGGCTTTATCTTTAGGCTTCAACTCTCCCTCATGTGAGGGGTAGGGATCTATTTGTAGTGTTATGGGTGAAATTAATGCAGGAATATGAATCATTTTGATCTAATTGTCCAGATAGCTTCTTTCAATCAGATGATGTTTAATAGACATTTGGATGCTTTAATGATGTCATCATTGAGTGATCTCGGGCTCATTGAATATGTCTTGTCGAGACGCTCATCTAATTGTCCAGATAGCTTCTTTCAATCAGATGATATTTAATAGACATTTAGATGCTTTAATGATGTCATCATTGAGTGATCTAGGGCTCATTGAATAATGTCTTGTCGAGACGCTCAATTCGACTATAAACTTGCCAGATTTGACAAACATTCGACCTTTCAAATGTGTTTAAAATCTTTTAAGAATATTTTAATGACTTGGCCTAAGTCTGATTTGACTCGAATTAGACTGACTTTGATATCATTAGATATGTCTCATCAAGCCGATCAGTTTGATCATTAATTAGCTGAAATCGAACTCTAGATGAGTTTTATTTGAACTTTGAATTTTGTTGTTCAAAAGATTGCATCGAGATTCGTGTCAAATGATGAAAATTTAATGGCGACGTATCAAAAGGAAAAGAGAGAAAAGAACAATAATGAATAATATAATTGCCTTGTCTATGATTTATTTGTCATAAAATGATTTTCACATTAAGGCATCTAAGGGTACAATATATGATATTACATTTCTAGTCTTACTACAACTGGGATGTTACATGATAATCTAAATATTTTATATATATATGAGTTTATTGCTTCTGTATCTAATTACTTAATTGGCTGAACCTACACAACCTCATCTCTTAAGTATTTTTTTTATGAAATATATTTTGGTTAAAGTAAAAGTATAAATAAAGTAACGAAAAAAAAAAACCAAATGGCTTAAGTATTTTTTTATTTATTTATAAAATCATCTCTAAGCTTTCATTCCTCAAAAAACCAACTAAATTAATATTTAATATCTTTATTATCTCATTTATAAAACATCACTCATGAATCATCAATCTCCATTCTATAAAATATCCTTGGCCACCCATTTCATCAAAACACTCATGCATATAAACATATATAACTTAAATTAACCACTATATATATACCTTCAAATGTCTACTCCTGAGCTGCAAACTAACCACCAATCCATGGAGAATCCCAGCACAACGAAGAAGAAGAAGAAGAAGCAACAACCATCCTCCTCCCAACCCGATTCGGAAAACATTCACACCAATCCCTTCATCTCATCCTTCTTCCTCGCCATGGAAGACCCCAAGACCCACCGCCGTCAATCATCCCTAACCTCCGTGTTCAGCTCAATGCCTCACAACGACGACGACCCCTCCCAAGTTCTCATCATGAGCGCTCTCTGGACCTACGCCATGACTCAACCAGACGACCCCATCCTCCCTTCATCAGGCCTCCTCCTCTGCTGCTCTCTCCTCATCACCAAATCCCTCACCAATCCCTCATGGCTCCACCGCCACCAAAACATCTACATCCCTTACTACGCCGCACACATACTCGGCTCCTTCACTCTCCGCCACCCAACTCTGGCTTCTCTAGCCATATCATCCGGCTGTCTCCCTCCTCTGCTCTCTCTGCTCCGCGGCTCCTTGACTTGGATGGAACAGCGCGCCGCCGTTCGGGCTCTCGGCCACCTCGCCAGCTTCGACAACACTTTCCCCGCCGTCGAGCTTCACGGCGCTGACATCATCATCCCGTTTTCAATTCATCTCGCCACCACTTCGATCGAAACCGTGTTCTCCTCGCCGAGACAGAGATACCAGAGAGATCTCCTCACTCGTGGGCTCGGCGGAGCCGATATGGAGGCGATGAAAGCAGAGCAATGGGCCGGCCAACTTCAGACCTGGTCAATCTACCTTCTTTCCTGCTTCGCCTGGCGAGATTTCAAGTGGCATCGAATCATCGTCACCGAAAATGCAAACTTTTTGAAAAAGGTCTGTAATATGTGGGGTGGATTGGCGAATGGCGACTCCCCTGCGGGAGTCGGTTTGATGCGAATTCTTTGCCGGAGCGTGCTCGGCCGAACCGCAATCGCCGGTTGTGTAGAAGCCGTCGAAAGCCTCTGTAATCTCTCCCGTTCATCAGACGACTGGCAATACATGGGAATAGACTGTCTTCTCCTTCTACTGAACGATCCAGTCACTCACAACCAAGTCTTCCCGATCACCTCGCCGTACCTAACCGACCTAGCTGAGCTCCGGCGACTCGGTTCTAGAGAGCATCTCGGAGAAAAGATTACCAACTCTCTTCCACTAACCGCATTGATACAGAGAACCAAAAAGGAGGCAGAAATGAGCTTGGAAGAAACAGAACAAAGGTGGAAACTTTCGAGAGAACTGAAAAGGAAAGGGAACCAGAGGTTTCGGGTCGGCGACGTGGAGGGAGCCATAGAGATGTATACGGAGGCGTTGATGGAGTGTCCTCTGAGAAAGAGAGAACAGAGAATGGTGATATACAGCAACAGGGCAAAGTGTGAGGTTATGATTGGGGAGGCGGATGCGGCGATCAGCGACTCCACGCGAGCGTTAGCGCTGTCGGAGCCGGCGAACTCGCACGGGAAGAGTTTGTGGTGGCGTGCGCAGGGTTACGACATGAAGGGGATGGCGAAGGAGAGTTTGATGGATTGTTTGTCGTTTTTGAATTGGTGGTTCGGTTATTATGAGGGGAAGAGGGGAAGATTTGGTGGGGTTGTGCCGTGCAGTGCTGTGCGGATGATTCGTAAGCAGATGGGTAGAGTTGGGCTGTTTGATGGGGTTAAGGAGAAGTGCGGCGGTGAAGATGCTTCTGCGGATGGTGATGAATAGTAAAACGTCCTTTGTGTACATATTCAGAGAGTTTGGGCCTTTGGGGATCGAGTGAAATAGAAGAGAAAAGACTGGTGAACCATAACGTGTAGGGGTTGCTGATGGAGAGAGTCGGTGAAACCGTCTCTTTATTCATATTTTCCCCTTCTTTACGAGTGAAATAGAAGAGAAAAGACTGGTGAACCATAAGACTGGTGAACCATAACTTCTAGGGGTTGCTGATTGAGAGAGTCGGTGAAATGTCTCTTTATTCATATTTTTCCTTCTTTATAAAAATTTATTATGTACATATACAAAAATGAGGGAATTGTTCTGGAAATTGCTAATTGAATTTTATCATGGCGGTAATCGATCGGTCGACATGCTTGAATTTAGCCGATTGAAGGGACTGGTTGAGTGGTGACTGAGCGATGGATTGGTTGGCCGATGCGCCAAGTCAAATGTAGAATTCGTCTGCTGCAGTAAAGGCGGGTCGATCGATCTGCTGCAATCAAGAATTCATGTATGCATCTCAGTCGACCAGGACTATCGGTGTGACATTGCGCTTAAATATCTCGAAGCAATGTGTTGGTTGATTCTCGATCGTATAGCAGTATGTGGTAGGACTCCTTGATTGTATGGCTGTCATCTTGACCATTTGAATGTTTTGAGATTTGTATTAGCAGTTGTGATGTATATACAAATATATCTATTATGAGAGTGTACATTATGAGTATATTCCAAGTACTTGCGAAAGGCGATATGTATTGCACCACACTATATATGTAGTAGAAAGGTGTACAACCATCACATACTATTCTTTTTGTTTTTGCATATATTAACAAAAAAAATATATTTGATTTTTCTAAGTGAAGACTTCCATATTTATTAGAGATTTTTTTTATAAATGCTAAGATATTTTGATTAAATTTTTATTATTGGGATAATCAAAACTATTAAGTTAGCTTTAAAATTTGTGTGATATATTGGAAAAATAATATTTTATTTATCTAAGAAATACAAAAACTGAGCATAAATTATAATGCAATATTTTTTGAATAAAAAGTTGAAGCTTGAAGTGACAACTTAATATGATAAAATTGTATAAAAAAATAATTAGACTTAAATTTAATTATAATGATTTTTTCTCATGTATTAAATTAAAATTGAGATAAATAAAATATATGGCTGGTTATAAAGTTTCAAACTACATTTATGTGAAGATTAATGAAATTTAAGTGAGAATATTACGAAATAAGTTATTGTTGCAGATTTTGGATGGGGGGGGGGCACAAGTTGAAAAAAAGGATTAGGATGGGTTTATTTTGTTAAAAGTGCAATGAGAGGGTGATGCATAAATTAAATTATTTTCATAATAGAATGTTTGCAGCATTTTTATTATTTATTTAAGTTTTTTTTTTTTTTCAAAAGGTTTCGTAGCCTAAACTTCTTAGATGGTGAAGAGATTAAAATCTAAATTTTAGAAGGGCCGAACAAATCTTATGTATTTACATGTCTAACCCCAAAACTATCATATTTACGTACATTGTAATCAAACATTTAGGGTCTGTTTTGGTGCAGTTTGTGTGTTTCAGGGTAAACAATTTATCCTGAAACGCGGTTTGCGCTGTTTTGGTGCAGTTTGTGTGTTTCAGGGTAAACAGTTTATCCTTAAACGCGGTTTGCGGTCGACCCGCGGCCTACATTTAGTGTAAAAAACACAAATGCAGCAAATAGCGTTTTCAAAACTCGCAAACAAAACGGTTAGACGGTGTCTTAAAAAACACCGCTGTACTTATAAGCTGTTCCAAACGGGCACAAGAAAATATTACTCATGTTTATTTCTTAGAAGTTCATGCATAGGCATATTTCACCTTGTGTGTGTGTTTATATATATATATATATAGGAA